TAATAATTAGTTGAACTGGGACTTGAACCTATATGATTATCTCCAAAGCCTCAGCTTTAAATATTATGCTTTCCAGCATGACATCTAGAACATAACAATTGCTAATTAAATATATATACCTGCCTTATTTTTACTGAATATGGACATTCTGGACTCCAAGGATTAGAGACCCTAAGAATCTATATTGTTTCAGCAAAAGGTTCACTAGGCCACTTGGCGATAGTCCCCCATAAGAGGCGAGAGTAGAATTTGACCTTCCCAGCTCCCTGCTACCACTGAGGATGCTGCACACTTCTGGATTTCATGATGCAATAGCGTCCATAGACCCTGATGCTCCAGGTAGATATTTTAGAACTAAAAGAGAAGTTTAGCTTAAAATCTTGTCCAAAAAATATGGTACAGAAAGTCATCTCTACAGATGCACACCAGCCCTGTGAAACCATCATCATCTGAGGCCAAGCTCCCTGCTGAGTGGAAAAAGCACTGAACCAGGAGTTAGGAGATAAAAATTCATACTCCTGCTCTGCCAGGGTTCTGTGATCTTTGGCAAATCTCTGTCTTCTCTGCCTTCATTTATCTGCTCAACAAAGAATTAGAGTAGATGACAAATCTAAGATCCACCTGATGGTAGCCATAGATAGTTGCAGAAAGACTTATACTTAGAAACCAGGCTCCTTGGAGAATAGGAGGTAGGATGGAGGAGGATAGCTTCCAAGGCAGAGGGCCAAGTTGTGCCTAGAGCCAGGCTCTCCTTGGGGCCTATGACATAGTTGGAGAACACAGAGGAAAGTGTCACTCTGCTAGATTTGTACTGAAAAAAGTGAGAAGGATAGAAATCAAATCTAGAACCACTGAACATTAACACTGGGAAGAACTTCTAAGTTCTTTGGATACTTCCTTAAACAGTTAATCCTTTGGGTTGGCCTTTTTGTCTCTGAATTAAGGCAGTCGACCCCCAGATAAGTAACTTAACCCCCAGATAACAGACTTAACCAGCCTCAGAGTTGTGAACAGGAGCTACCTCAGGTGTCAGGAAGCCACAGGCCAAGGTAAGAAGGCTGGTGACTCTCCAGAAAATATGTGAAGCTGAGAGGAACTTACAAGAAAAAGCGTTACCCATATCCAGAACAAATCCTCTAAAAGTATTTTGCAGTTGGTTGCTACAATAAACAGTGTGATGAAAAACAAGACAGAAAGTAAGAATCACCAGAGCTGTGTGTGTGTGCGCATGTGTGTGTAGCCAGCTGATGCAATCCCCATTGGCACAAATTAAAGTTTAATTTAGGACCTGAGCTTGCGATGCAGAGGCCAGTGCAATACATCCTACTGTATAGCAGTGTTTTCTCTAATAAAAATAGTGCTAACAAGATAAAAAAAACATGTGCTGTTGCAACTTGCTCTTTATCAAGAGAGCTCTGATGTTGCGGAATCCACAATTTAGAGATTGCCAATCTAGCCATCTTTAAAGCTATGGGCCTCACTCTGATCAATTTCTTAGAGTTTATGATCATAGTTTAAATGCCTAAAATGGTTTAAATCAAAACCCCCTACCAGAAAATACAGCAATTATAAGAAAAGAAAAAAACCTTGTCTCTACTTTGTTATTTGGCTCAATAGAAAATATTTTATAAATGGTATTATTTTATAAAAATGAAAACTGTCACTTAAAGATGATACATTAATAAAAAGTGATTTTCAACCAAGGACAATTCCCTGTGGTGTCTAAGTGGCATTTTGAGAGATGGAGGGATATGTTTGGGGGCTAGGCCAATGACGAGAAGAATCTAGTGACACTCAGTGACCAGGAACCAAGAATCTAAATGTGCCTAACTGTCCCACAACAAAGAATCTTCCTTCCCAGAATGTCCCACCTATGTTGAGCCAGCACAGTAAGCCTCTCCATGATCCATTGATTGAAAATGCCCAGATAGTAGTGTCAACTTTCAGTTCAAAGGAACCATGATTTTCTTCCCTGGTGGAAACCTTTTTTCTTTGGGAACCAAGATCTCAACAACAGCAGAGTTCAAAGCTATTGGAACGGGAAGGGAAAAAGAATCACTAGTATACCATTAGGGATAATATTGAGATTGTCATTTCTTTTTCTATCTATCCCTTAATCCTTGGAACTGGGAAAAAGCAGCTGATTCAGAACATTTGTCACATTCAAGAGAACATTATCCCAGCCCTGGAAGGTGCTGTCACCCAGTGGCATCTGTAATTGAGTCTTCCAAAGATTATCCCACTATTATACCAGGCCAGCTACTTCAGGAGGATGGGCCATATGGCAAAATTAATGAATTCTATGATCCTTAAAATGAGTCCTGGTCAGAAGCAATGCTGGGTGGAGCACCACAAGGGTAAACCAGGCATTCTCCAACTCCACTGCTAATGCCCAAATGCCTATAGCAGAGACGGACACTGGACCCTTGATCAGGGCATGAGTCTGTGGATAACCAGCCAACTACCAGGTGTCCAGATGATTACGCAGACCATTTCCATTAGAACAGTGATCTATTTTGATGGAATAGACCATGACTCTGGATATGAACCGTCTTTCTTTCTCTGCATTGCCTCCACCCTTGGTGAATTTCCATGATGCCCTTCTCACTATTCTGGATTTTCTGTCTGGCCACTGCACTTAGCTGCTTAAGCTCCCTTGCTGTATGTTGGTTGGTTTCCAAGAAGGCGCATTGCAAAAGGAAGAAAATGGAAGTTTCTGGTTGTCTTAAGGATAGAGTAAGAAATCCAGAACATCTCTCCTGTCATACTCTATTGGTGAAAGCAGTCCCAGGGCCAGCTTTATTCAAGCAAAGGGAAATAAGCTCCCTCTTGATGAAGAATTGGCTTGTGCCTAAAGGGAGGGAAGGAACTGGTGGTGGCCATCTTTGGAAACTCTTCCACAGCGCCTACTTGTTTCCTCATCTTACAGTAAACCTAGTGCCTTCATAAAGCTATGTCAAATTCTATCATGGAAGTAGAGGCTGACACTATCTTTCAAAAAATAAAGCAAGTAAGGATCAGAAGGCAAAATAGCCAGAGTAAACCAGTCCCCCAAACCCATTTCCAAAACATAGCCACAAAGGGACAATGCATGGGCTCCCAATGGAACACAGCAAAAGTGAGTACCACAGGCTCTCAGCCTACTCTACCACCAA